AAAAAAAGCTACTTAATTACAACAACTACACACACATATATAAGTTGTTCAAAAAGCAGTTTTATGATCTTGAAATATAAATCTTTTTTCTATTTTTTTTTTATTATTATTTTTAATGTAATGATGTCTTTTAGTATTATAATTTTGTGCGCATACTTACATGTGCCAGCACCACCAGCAGCAGCTGATGACACGATGCTCAAGCTAGTGATCGACTCAACTAGCCCACCATAAACTATGCTCTTAATCACTTCAATCCCACGCTCTTTTCTTTCTTCGATTCTCTCTCTACCGACAATAGTAGTTTGAGGCGAAGCTTGTAATAAACTGGTAGTTTCTGACAAGCTGCTTATGCTTTGCACAGTTTGAGATAACCCATCCGGCTGTGAATCTATAGTTATAACTGTATCTTTGCCTGCATTAGATTAGATATTCATAATGATTAACTGCCCAAGATATTCATAATGATTAACTGAATCTATATATATATTCTTTTTATTAATTGTTATACCTTCTGCATACGGAACACCTTTCAATACAGAGATATTTTCGACTTTCATTGGCTCCCCCGAGTGGATGTCAAATTTGGTTTTTGTGATTATATGCTGAGATGGTTCAGTGGGGTTGACTTCACCTATCATTGAAAAGAAAATCGTTATTAATATTCCATAAAATTTTAGTTGAATAAAGATACCCCTAAGGTTTAGTCTAATGACAAAAAAACTCAGGGGTAAGTTTTATAATTATCACAACATTTGAGTGGAAAGCAATCAGACAAGAAGTTTGAACAGATACCATGATCAGTGCTGCTAAAACTTTCATTTTTATTATCGATAAATGACTCAGTTAGAATAGTGGTTCGAACTTCCTGTTGCTCAGCATGGGGAATTGATACCGAAATGTTCAGCTTGCCGTCCACATCAGATGCTTTAAGCTCGGCAGCTGGTGTTGAAAGCCGGATAGCATCCTTATCTGTACATTCATCACCCACCAATTATGCATAAATTTAAATGATAGAAATGAAAACAATACAAGATTGTGTTGTAAAACTATGTTATATCAGCCATTAAAAATATCAAAAACTTTGGTATTCGTTTCTGACATGAGCTTCATACCCAAAAACAAATAATGGACAAGATTGTGTTGTAAAACTATGTTACTATCAAAAGTTGCCATGGCTGATTGATCCATAAATGTTAAAAAAAAAAAATTATTTTATCGTTCTCAATGTAGGCTAACCAAGTCATGTCATCCTAACTGTGTTACTGATTACATAGTATTTTATGTGTCAGCTTTTGCAACTTCCAAGTTTCCACTAGGAATACTGACGTGGCATAATTTGTGTCCTGTATGTGCTGACATGGAAATTTCCTTTTTTTCAAGAAAGAAAAGAAGTGGACAATAAAACTTTTCATATGCATCAGAACTGCAGGGGAATAAAGTAGTTTTGACAATAGTATGTCGTTGAAAGAAAACAGTAGGAGACAATGTAAGTCTTTCAGAAAATCATACCTATTGTCTCTGACCATGTTGTATCGAGTTTACCTGCAGCACCACTTGTTAAGATCCCATTCAACGAAGGCTTTGGATTTGAAAAATCTAAATTCTCGACGAGACTAAGACTATCATTGTTCTCATCTCCACCTTCCACCAGACTATCATTGTTCGCAGCGGGCCCCACATTTTTCTCGGAGGCAGAAGTGTGCGAAGTAGCATTTTGTGAAGAAGACGAGTGACCGGTCTCACCGCCTAACGACAAGACTTCACGTGGCGCGCCTAAGAAAAAGTGAAGTGCTTCAACAGTTAGGAACGAATATTGTCTCCAACCCAAAAAGAGAACTAGAGAAGTGCCTCAATCCACACTTCATTCATACTCAAAATCTAATCCAACTTTAACTCAACTCCACTATCCTCAATATTATCAATGTAATAAACAATACCAACCAATCATTCGTACACATTAGATCAACTTTAATATACTATTCATCCACTTACATAATTTTAATAAACTATCACTTCATATCATCTCCCTCAACTTTTACATCAAATCAACTTTAATTATTTTATTTTCAATATTATTTAATATAAAAATAAAATCTCATTAACAACTAACCATACCACTTTTGTTCAAAATTAAGTCTGATTAACCAAAAAAAACTTGTTTTGATCAGATATATTTGTATACAAACACGCCCTAGAAAATGAAAAACAAGTACCTTGCTCAACAGCAATTTCCGGCTTATTTGATGCAAACATGGAGGTGAACCAGTTCTTTTTCGCTCGTGGAGCTTGTTCATCCTCGAGTTTTTCTTCATTTCCACCTTTGTCCCCGAACTTCCTGAACAGCTTGAATCCATTCCCTGAAAATATTCAAAAACAAAAGAGGTTATACTTATATTTAGAATTTTAGATACTGCGAATTGTGAAAGTTCATATTATTTAGATATATTGTCTCTAACTGAATAAAACTAACCCACATATACTATAAAGAAAATAAAGAAAAGAATTATTATTTACCTGTTGGAATAAAGAAGCTGAAACATGATAAGCATGTGAATACCTCAGGACCACTCTCACGTTCAACTTCATTTACATTCGGTATTTGATCATCAATATTATCAGCAGTGTCCTCATCATGAACATGGTCCCCCTGAGATTGGACCGAGCCCTTGCCCAATGTGGACCCAACCACATTTTCCGTTTTGTTACGTTTAGCCTCTTCATCGGAAGTTCGAACTCGACGTTTTCTTTTACGAAGAATAACTCGCCTTGTGATGCAACTATTGCAGTTGGGACAGTACAAATCGTGTGTGTTTTGCTTCTTTATTACTCTCTCAACGTCTAGTTCTGCTACTTCCAAGTCATCATCGTCAATCTCAGCACTTTCTATCTCGTCCGAGGACTTATTATGCCTTGGCTTACCTTCTAGAGATGAAATTTTAGAAGCTTCAAAATTTTTAGGAGTTCGATCATCACCTGAAAATTTTAAATTATACAAAGCTAAAGTTAAACTGTTAAATTTAAATATATGCAACAATGTGAGGCAATGGACTACAACATAATATTGCCAACTGAACTTGCAAGAAAGACAGATTAGAAAGAGAATTTAAGTACATAAGCTGAAGACAGTACAATCCAAGCCTCGGTTGATAACATAATAAAGCCCATAGAGCAATCGATTTAATCTACCACTGAAAAATCTATCGAATGATGTCATTAAAATTATTCTTTTGACACTTACCAATCATTCTGTAAAGATTAAAAAGACCAAATCATCTCAAAATTTTAAACCATACTCGCTCATGTATAGTGTCTACTGACCCTCAGAATCAAAATTTAAGGTTTTGACAGTCATCGGCTTATGCATAAGCCCTTCATGATTGTGAATATGGTCAACACGTCCACTCCCATTCCGATATGTCCAAGTGCAGATTCGACATTTCCATATTCCTTCAGTCAGAAAACAAGACAACTGATGGCACAATTGTAACAATTGCAAATAGTGCTAATTTATGTATATAACTAATGAAAGAAAAAGAAACGAAATATTTCGCTATAAGGTCAAGCAAAACGATCTTTTACTCCATGTAGTTCATAAATTGTAAACAAAACTATGAAGTGTGAATGTCTATGATCTTTATAGGAAGCCTATCTACGGGCTAAAAACCGGGCACTCGAGCAATTTGC